ATATATGCACCTGTGTCATGCAGTGATCATGGAGGACAGAAGAACATGTCAGATCCCCTGGAACTGCACTTACAGATGGTTGTTAGCCACCATGTGGGTGCTGGGATTCATACCCAGTCTTCTGCAAGAGCAGCCAGTGCTCTTAACCACTGAACTATCTCTCCAAACCCTTCCATAATTTCTTTTTAAGAAGTGTGCGTGTTTGTGTGCGCACCACTTTTGCCACTATTGTGCATGGCAGTCAGAAGACAACTTGCAGGAGTCGGTTCTTGCCTTTCACTCTGTGGGTCCTGGATGGAACTCAGGTTGTCAGGCTTGGTGGAAAGAACTTTACTCACTGAGCCATCTCACCAGCCCTAATTTTCCGTAATTTCTATATAAAAGAGTCATGATTGTACAAATATTCCTGCTTCATAATTCTTTAGGTTCTTGTTTTGATTCTGATCTCCATCCTATTCACCTGTTCTCTACTGTAGTCATGAAGAACTATGGCCTTCCATAATCTCAGTTTTGTTTTGTTTTCTTTTTCTTTTTTTTTTTTTGGTCCTTTTGAGACAGGGTCTCCATATAATCCCAGCTGACCTGGAATTTACAATGTAGACCAGGCTGGCCTTGAATTCACAGAGATCTGCCTGCCTCCTGACGAGTGCTAGGATTAAAGGCATGCGTCACTTCACTCCACCAAGACAGGGTCTCGCTATGTAGCCTGGCTGACCTGGAACTCACTATGTAGGCCGGACTGGCCTCAGACTCACAGAGTCTGCTTCTGCCTCTCAAGTGCTGAGATTAAAGGTATATGCCACCACATCTGACCCATAATCTCATTTAAAAAAAAAATTATTTTTATTTTATGTGTTTGAATGTATTGCCTACATGTATGTGAGTGCACCCATGTTGTGCAATGCCGCAGAGGTCAGAAGAGGGCTTCGGATTCCCCTGGAACTGGAGTTAAGGACGGTTCGAACCTGGGTCCTATGCAAGAGCAGTCAGTGCTCTTAACCCCTGAGCCATCTCTCCTGAACCATTAAATGAGGCCTTAATCTCATTTTTTTTACTGCCCACGTCTGTTCTACATCCCCCCCCCTTTCTCTCCAGTACTAGAGATCAAAACTGAAGTCTCACCCATGCTAGGCAAGTGTTTTTCCACCAATGCATCTCTAACCCACTCTCCTCTCTTCAGTGTTGTGACACCTCTAGGCACACTAGAACTTCCAGTCTGTCTTTTCACCTCCTTGATGACTTCACTCCTCTTCACCTCAAACTCCATGGCTGAATCATCATACTAATCATTCCCCTAATATTTTTCTTCCATTATGTACTCAGTTGACCAAAAGACAATTCTTGTTCATTCCATATCTGTCCACCCTGTATCTCTAGCTGTGAGTCTCTGAACATGACTAGAAAAGG